ATTAAATTGTGGATAAATGTGTGATAAAGCTTTCGTTATAATAAACAATTTAAATGAAGTAATGCATATGTATTCGAATTTAGAATAAATTACGCTTAATTACCCATGAAGATGGCTGTTGAAACTCCTAAGAGATCCCCATGAAGCAGCTTACTAGTGGATGCTTGGCTGAAAGGCTTGTTGAACAAATTAATGTAGTTTGACTAGCAAAAACTTCTTTTTATGGTCTATAGTGAGGCAAGGAAACCAACTCAAGGTATGCACTATGCTGCTAGTATAATGGATTTTTAAAGTATTATTCTCCATGGGCCAAGTAGAAGTGGGTGAACAATTTTCTTGCAATTAATCAGAACCCCGGAGGCCGTTGAAGTTGGAAAAATGAAGTTCAAATAGGCTGTCTTACCATCATTCATCAAAACTGCAGCATTCTTGCCCTTGGGTGTGCGGGTGGCGAAAAGGCCATTTGTTGCGGCTCCTGTATGGCCAAGTCTAAGACCCCGTGTGCAGCGAGCAGGACCGTTGTCTGAGCAGCGTTGCATACCTTTACAGGTGGCAGAGACGGTCGCATGCGCTGTGAGCGAGGCTGAAGCAGAGGAAATAGCATGGGCCACGGATGAAACAGAGGGAGGGGGTGTGGGAGAAATGGAATTGGAAGGCAAAGGAGGAAGAGAAGAGGGAGCGGCCGACGGAGCAAGAGAATAGCGATTGGGAAGCATAGAGGGGAGAGGGAAGCATTCAGATGTAAAGGGTACTTGCTCATCCAAGCAAGAACCTAATGGGGGCCGAGTTTCTTCAGGATCTGTGGTGGGTGAAAGCATACCAGCTTCAAAACAATCCCATTCAAGCCCCCCCGAAGCCAAGATGCCTCGGAGTGAGCTTATCGGCCGGCCATTGAACATAGGACTTCTCGAAGTATAGCTATCGATGAGGCCACTAGCGCCAAGATCGATAAAATCACCACTAGGCAACGGGGACGCGGCAGTATCAACGAGGCGTGTAGAGGCACGAAGGCCTTTTGGTGTCTGCTGATGGGCAGTCGAGAGGAGAGAAGAACAACGCAAAAGTCCAGAACCTGGCATTACAGGTCTAGTCCTCACTGGGGTGACACAAGCGTGATTGGAAACGGCAAAAGAAGATAAAGTAAAAAAGAACATGTGTGAATAGCAGTTAAAATAGCGATGTGAGTGTGGGCTTATCAAGGGAGGATAAATGGCCAGAATTCAGTTGACATGCATAATATAATAGACTAGATGCTATCCCCAGCCCGACTTACTTAACCTGCAGTTCCTGAATGACCGAGCAGTTAAATAATGGTATCTCACTAGTGTTCGATCTTGAGATGTGACCGAATGGGTAAAATAATTGGAAACTTAGTCACCCTAGGTCGCTCAAGTTTATTAAAAGCTTATGGTGGAACCAGAGTTCACTTATTATTGCCCCTAAAAAGGTTTTCTTATCCTATTATCGATCTGCAAATAATCTTAAGCGACCTACTGTAGCTAAGTTCAATTTCACGAATGAGTGAGTTTAAAAACATCCTATACAGAAAGTATTAAAACTTAGCACTATTCAAAGCCATTTATATAGATATTAATTAGATTTAAGAAATAGACAAATAAAGGATGCTCCTCTCAAAATAAAAAAATGATATATCGTCGAACCCTAAAAATTCAAGCAATAATGGGAGGGAACAGTAAGCGGAAGGTTTACAAATAATGAAAAGTAGAATATTGCTTATTAAAGTCAAATATGGCATACAAAGGGGAATATTATTAATAAAGTATTAGTAATAGCTTTAGGAAAATGACAGAACAAGATCGCTGAGATTACTATGTGCGATATGGAATGACATGAAACAGGCACAAGAGGAACTCGTCACTTGGGAACAGAGTAACGGCCCAGCTAACATTCTTTAAAATGAATTATCTAATGAAGCGTTAATAACGCGCATAAGAGGTTTAAATTTAGGTTAATTCAAGATTCCTCGCTAATTTATGGATGCTAATCCAATCACCTATTAAAGTGGTTGGTAAGGCTGATTTTAAACAAGGTTTTTCTAAAGCATTAGGAATGAGCAGCATTTTGGCCTGGATACCTATCACTAATCGCCAAAAAATCGATTCTCTTATCTGATTAGGTTACATTTTATCATTTTGGTTTATCAAGAAATATTGAAAAGACACAGCGACACAGAACTTGAGAAAAGTGAAGCATGACAAATGTGATTAGGTACATGAGTCTCATTGTATAATGAATAAAAGCAAATTAACAATATTGTTCAATAAGAAATATAAAAAACTATATGAGTATTTCAGAGTATTTGAGGATGGTCCAGCGGTTAAATCTAGCTCGTAGTGACCTTTGAAATCGAATTATTAATGTAGAATAATAAAGCAGGATACATAATTACGATATAACTCAAGGGATGTCAAATAAAGATGAAGTAGAATGAGAGAAATCGATAAAGACAGAAAGAGCACATTGGAAATCAATTATATGAATTCGCACGATGCTGTTGAGGGGAGAAACGCGATCGCTATTAAACGCGGAGAGGAAGGCAGAGAAAGCTGGTGGGTTACAGAGTATAAATTGAACATTAATCTCACTTCGGCTGGAATAACTGGACAGAGTATCTGGACTCGGGACGATCAAATTGGATTTGAAGAAACTGTGAATGACATCCTGAGCATCGTCACACTAAATAAAAAGTAGATTTATAATAGTAGAAAAGGAGAACATGAAACAAGGGCAAAAATGCGTTCTAAACTAAACAGCAGGTGACGCAATATGAAATGTGTAATTGTTGCATAAGTATTTCCTTTAAGCTACTTTAAGTAAGATAAGGTTTTAGCGTTTAGTTTTCCAAAATGTTATGAAAAAGATGATTCACGAGCTCATCTAGTAAAACTTAATCCTGTCTCAGTTTCGACCTGGATTGGACTCGAAACCAGATCATAAAAGCTAAGCAACAAACTCCCCATTCCGTCATACAGCTCGTTTGCAAGTAGGTCATTGTCTATATTGACGAGATTAAATAGAGTTAAATGCTTTAATCCCTTTGTAAACAGGCCGTCTGATTTAGTAGAATTAAATAGCGAAGACTTTGAGTCCTGACGAGGCAATATTAATTGTCTTTGACAAAAAAAGTTAATAATAAAGCTGCTTAAAGAACAATTAACTTCACTAATAATCTTCTACGAAATTAATTTTTAAGTTTTACATATTAGATGTGAATATTTCATTAAATCGCCAAAGTATTATGGCGCAAAAAAAGAACGAAGGCAATTTTTAAGCAAGAAACCAGGCTGAAAAGACTATAGATAGGCTACCCAACGTAACGGATCACGTGACTAAGTTAAGAAAAAGCTGAGTAATCTAGTTTACGGTAACAATTTCAATGCTTAATGCTGGCAATTCATAAAGCATTGATTATAATGACATACACAATGAAAAATGTACCCACATCGTGAATAACCAAGAATATAGGAGTCCATAACTCTCGAGGCGTGAATAAAGGCTGTTAGGATGCATGCTTGCCTGTGAACATAAATGAGCCCAATTGGAAAGTAAGAGAGTAGGCAAGAGGCGAGATAGAATGCACCATCAGATCGAAGCACTTCTAGAATGTAGGTGTAATGAAATCTACCTATCACTAAGATTCCATTTAAATATTCTTATTATCTATAATATCTATGCTTCTGCATTTATGACTTAGTTTTGTAAATAGATTACTTTCCAGTATGGGAATTTAAGATGTCATTAATTCAAATTAAGATTATATAAATTATAAACAATGAAAGCAAAGAATTATGGCAACATGATAGTTGTGAAGTATATATATATATATATATAAGTTGTTTGACCTTGTTTTCGTAACCTGGTCATATTGGTAGGACGACTTAGAGGAACGCACCTAGTCCGGAGTCCATCTTATGCATGATACTTTCCAAAGTACCACGTCCACGTTTCAACTGGAAATTATC